AAACTCATACACCCAGACGTGATGCTCGTAGAAAGCGGTTTTAACGACAAATAGGTAGGCTAAGTCAAATTGAAGAGCATGTGGGTGTGTATTATAACGTCCTGACTCAAAAAAGGATAATAGAAAACGCCTGCTGCGATAAAGCTTAAACTGCTTATCCTTGTCAAGTACTAATTCTAAGCACAAGCGAAGACAATGTCTAATCAGGAGACCTCTAACATTAACACGATGGACATGATTAAATTATATCTTCAATCACTATTGTAGGAGCTCTATGACGATTGACACTTACTAGAGTACATGCTTAGAGACTGACCATAACCTAGTGACACCATTTCCATGCGCTATACTTGACATAGTGAAGCACAGAAAAATGCTTCTTTAGACATAGATTAGGAAACGAAACGTTTAAGAATGGAGTGAAGGGAAAATTAACTAGGCATTTAGTCGATTATAGGAAAAATGTTCATATCAAAGAAGCTTGGGACGATACTCAAACAGTTGTAAATTGTTAAGGTGTTCACAAAAACATCCCAAAAAATTATGTTGAGTCTAATTTTATCTTGAAAGTAAAGTGGTATGTTTTCACATGTTTTCAGACTTTTTACATATTTCACATTTCGTTTTCTATTGTTCAATATTTACAGTTGTCCTAACTATAAATTTCACGTGTCGTTTTCCTATTGGTTAATATTCACGGTCATCCTAACTGAATAAATATGCATTGTCTGTAAATTATATTTGTTCTTCTTCTGACCCCATATACAATTATCATTTAACGGTTGTGTTCTGATATATTGGAGTTTGGGGAACAGTATTCGGGTCGTACTAGGATATCTGAAGTCAGTCAATCGGTAGAATTTCGAGTAGTCACATCGCGATATACAATAAATTGCAGCAATGATATCAGTCACTATTGGGAAAGATGATTAGATTCACGAAACTCCTACTAGATTATTAACTGTTCATGAATTCATTGAATTGTGAGAAAAATGACAGTTAGTCATAAATTCTGACTCGACTGGTAGTATTCAAGTAAAGAGCCTTCACAGGGTTTATGCACTTCTGAGGTACACTTTCTAACGACATACACTGCCAAAAAACCTGTTGGTCTACAGAGTCAAATGCTGCTTTTAAGAAAAACTATCATTGTCGGACGCCGATAAGCATGTCTGTGTTGACGAATAGTGAATATGTGGTCAATACAGCCACGACCATGTCTGAAGCTAGCCTAATTTTCTCGTATTTGCAGTTCACGAGTCTTAGTTAGGCGTTCGATAATTATTGAGGATTTTAGATACTATATTAGTCAAACTAATCCCTCTATGGTTATCACAGGATGATTTTGACCCCTTCTTATATGTTGGGACAATAGGTGATTGTGACCAGTCAGATGGGATAACATTCAGTTTTCAGATTTAAGCTAAAACATTAGTCAACGTAATCGCTGAAACTGGACCACCATACTTAAAGACCTCTGGAGTCAGTCCATCTGCTCTTCCTCGTTTAAGATAAGCTATAGCTTTTTGAACTTCAACTACAGTTAGAAGGATCTATCTCAGTTTTCCATTCAGGCTGTTTGGGAGTGGTGGGTGGTTGTAGAGTAGCTGAAGGTCAGCTAAACTGTTCCATCCATCGTTTTAAACAGAATACTTCAGGAGACAGTTTAACTGGTCTCCAGCTACTTCAAAATCAACCTGAATAGCTAATGGACACAAGTTCCACAACACTTAATGGTGTTAAAAAGGTTCTAGGCAATCTAAAAAGAGAGAGAGAGCAGCGGATTTAAATAGATTAACGCCAAAGATCTTCAATCCATCTGTTTTGGTTTAAAATAAAGTAGAATTCTCTTGTGATAGTATGAAGATGTGTGGACTATACAATGTGAACAATACTAACATCTATAATCATTCGACGCTTAACTAGGGCTTGTGAAGAGCGAATCTGGGAAAACCGGTCTGGTTCCACGTTAGGGCATGGATGAATTGACCAAATATTCACTCTATATTAAGTCTTCAAACATATGCATGCTTACCGACGTTAAACTATAGATGTATCTCTTGACCTTTAAGTAGCTTTTGATTCCGTTGGCAGGTTTTGTGGCCATGTTTGTGATTGAAAAGTGTATCAAAGAAGGTTAGGCATGGAACACCAGGCAAACTGACAAATCGGTTGACAAGATGAACTTTTATCAATTGATGTAATTACGATATGCATCACCTAAGCCTATTCACCGATTGCCTCGACAGGTCTTTTTGTTGGTATAATAGTAGGTCGGAAGAAAGCTGGAAGCCGTCAAATTATGACTGAAATCAGTTCATGAAGTCATTGATCGTTGGTCTAACCCATGATGGTAGGTGAAAACAACTTGGTTGGGGTCCATGGAATAACCACGATCAGTGGCTGGAAACCTTAGGTGATATGGCTTACAATCGTTCACAATGACAAAGATGAACTTACTGTTATATCCTAGTGGAGAAATAAATACGGGTAACTTCCGGGACCTATTAATGGACGATTATTCTATATATATTCTAATTGTTTAACTATTGAGCAATTAGATTGTGTATATCTGCATTCATCTTATTATAAGCTTCATTTTGACCTATGGATTATTATTATACGATGTACCGTCCTTAAATTATACTCAGTTTATTGATTATTGTAAACCACGTTCACAGACACATTTGGCTTGATCCTGTACAAACATTATTTCCTATTTTATGGTGTGATGCGGTTTGTCTGTCTATCTGGTATATAAACCGAGTATGCTTGAAATAAATGACTCGCATAACAGAAGCTGCAGTTGATGTTCTGGACTCAATTGGAAGGGCTAGGCGGACAAGGAACCAATAAGGACGCTAGACTACTCATACTGGTCGGACGTCATTGATTTGTCACAGCGTTAATAATAGAAAGGTCGTATTTCGATTGGTGGATAATTCACGTGATAAAAACCGGACATAAAATTAATAACGAATAAGCATACATCCTCTTATATTTTTTATAAAGTCATAACACTCTTTTATCTATCTATCGATCGGTGCTCCTTCATACATAACTCTCTACCCTGCCTTTTTGGACCGTTTTCTTGATGCTTAGTCCTTTCCATTGTCAGGGATACTTCATTACTACAATCTTATTTATCATACACCCTGCTAATTTTATCTCTGTGCTAATGCGGTATGACGACTTAGGCCAATGAACAACCGTGCCAGGCTCTACGTTGATGATGAACGACAGATTGACATCTTGGTCTGAATGCCACTAGACCTGCTACTTATTTACACGCTAGCCAGTATAGTATGTCAGGGAAAGTGGTAATTACACAAGCCTAACGGATACTCCACATTCTCTTCAGTAAGATTTGGGACGAAGAACAAGTTCCAACAGACTGGAAAAAAGGACTTCTGATCAAGATACCAAAGAAAGGCGATCTTAGCAAGTGCGATAACTACAGGGGCATCACTCTTCTCTCAATACCAGGAAAAGTCTTCAACAGAGTATTGTTAAACAGGATGAAGGATTCCGTGGACGCCCAACTTCGAGATCAACAAGCTGGATTTCGTAAAGACAGATCGTGCACAGATCAAATCGCAACTCTACGTATCATTGTGGAACAATCAATCGAATGGAATTCATCACTCTACATAAACTTTATCGACTAAGAGAAGGCATTTGATAGCGTGGACAGGACAACACTATGGAGGCTTCTTCGACACTACGGCGTGCCTGAGAAGATAGTCAACATCATACGGAACTCCTATGATGGACTAAACTGCCAAATCATCCACGGAGAACAACTCACCGACTCGTTTGAAGTAAAGACTGGTGTTAGGCAAAGTTGCTTACGCTCACCCTTTCTCTTTCTCCTGGTCATCGACTGGATCATGAAGACGTTAACGACAGGAGGAAAGCACGGGATACAGTGGACAGGCAGGATGCAGCTTGACGATCTAGACTTCGCGGGTGATCTGGCTCTTCTGTCACAAACGCAACAACAAATGCAGGAGAAGACGACCAGTGTGGCAGCAGCCTCAGCAGCAGTAGGTCTCAATATAAACAAAGGGAAAAGCAAGACTCTCCGTTACAAAACAATATGCACCAATCAAATTACACTTGACGGAGAAGCTTTGGAAGATGTGGAAATCTTTACATATCTGGGCAGCATCATTGATGAACACGGTGGATCAGATGCAGATGTGAAGACGAGGATCGGCAAAGCAAGAGCAGCATATTTACAACTGAAGAATATCTGGAGCTCAAATCAATTGTCAACCAACACCAAGGTTAGAATTTTCAATACAAATGTCAAGACAGTTCTACTGTATGGGGCGGAGACGTGGAGAACTACGAAAGCCATTATCCAGAAGATACAAGTGTTTATTAACAGTTGTCTACGCAAGATACTTCGGGTCCGATGGCCAGACACTATCAGCAACAAGTTACTGTGGGAGACAACAAATCAGATTCCAGTGGAAGAAGAAATCAGGAAGAAGCGCTGGAAGTGGGTTGGGCACACTTTGAGGAAATCACATAATTGTGTCACAAGACAAGCCCTCACATGGAATCCTGAAGGTCAAAGGAGAAGAGGAAGACCAAAGAACACATTACGCCGAGAAATAGAGACAGACATGAGAAGAATGAACAAGAACTGGATAGAACTAGAAAAGAAGGCCCAGGACAGATTGGGTTGGAGAAAGCTGGTCGGCGGCCTATGCTCCATTGGGAGTAACAGGCGAAAGTAAGTAAGTAAGTAAAGGATATTTATTCACCCTGTTCTACAAAGACTCACCATATGATTGACAACTTTATAGGCTCTGACTAGTACCGTACGCCCAATCTAAGAACAGACTGATAACTCAATGGTTGCACATATTACACAGATAATGTTTCTCAAGACATTTAGAAACTGCAACTTGAAAGTATCAGTGAAAATGTCCCTGAATTTAATATTATTATAGCACTGTAAATCAATATACCGCAGCACATTAACTCACCTCAGTAGATGTGAACTTGATTGATCCATATACGGGTACTAAGACCTCTCGACAAGATCTTTTAAATTTACGTAAGTGAGGGGAGTTGTCTACGCGTGGACCTGGTGATAGTGATTTTCCTTTTAACCTGCGAACATTCAATCGATGCTCTTCTGACTCCAAATGTTTCAGTTTCATTGAATTGAATATTACAAACTGACAAATATTGCAATGATAAAAAACAGATGTTGGGTTTTCATCACTTGATGGTGACATCTAAAATAATGTGAAAAACTGCATAATATGAAAGATATTCATTAAAAATCAAGAATATTACCAGTGTGAATAATTTTTCAGGAAAAATCGCTGTTTATCGAATGACGCAGTTAGAAGTAGATAAGTCCCAAAGCATTCAGATATATGAACAAACTTTAGTGGCCTTATATGACTCCAGTTAGATCGTATGCTGATTGCTATCGAAATATGCATCTCGGCTACCCTCGTATTTAACGGTTGACTTGAAAGGCAGCCATGATAACCGCTACACTCACTGCCTTCTCATGGCGGGGGTGTTCTTCACGAAATTGAGAGGACGAAAAGCGAATGTCAGGCGCTTCAACCGGGTTGGTGGACAAGGCGAGTCCACCTAGGAGAGTTGGAAAACTCTGATTCCAAACCAATGGTGCACAAGGGCTCCAGTATCCTGATGGAACAAATGGCGTACGAATCAATCGTTGATCACCGGCTACCATGGGACTGCATCTCCTCACGATGCTCCACTGCCTTGTGGATCAGACCTTTATGTCAAAGGCTCAGGGTGTGGCCCTCCAAGAAAACCACCTGCTTCAGTCTGGGCACCTGGGCAGTATCACAGCCCTCACACAAATCGAATGAGATTTGTGAGGCGCATATATATCTGGTGTCCCCTTGTAACAATATTTATGTGTTTAAATAAATAAATAAACTCAAATATCCAAAATTAATAATGTATTTATTTCGTATCGTCGATTAGAAATTTGCAAGAAGACACTACAGTGTCCTAAAGCAATCGCTAATATTTCATAAATATGATCTGTGAATAAGAATCATACGAAGTGGATTAAAAATACAAACAAAGCATTAATCAATTTTAATATTATAGATTTGTTTTTCTGTCGATCTCCAAAAAAGGATAAATAACAATTTTTAAAAATTCCTACACAAAGTTGTAGCAAATCTTGGATCGTAGTTAACTTTTAATCGAGGTATATATACAATTTATTATTAAATAGTGGATAAACTAAAGTAATAAAGTGTGGATATTTTAACTAAGTAAAACTGACCAGTATAAACGAATATACTAAAAACTCAACATTTTTTAACTTATTATAGAAGTTTTGTAGAGATCGGTTCAACCTGGTAATGGTTTCTGGTCATAAAGTTCAATAATCAGCGGGAAACTAAAAACGAGATAGCACTGAACAGATGTTTGTACCTGGTATGAGGATTTTTGTCTGTCCCAAGCTACGATTCCTGGTGCTTCCTTGTACCAATATTTATGTGTTTAAATAAAAATAAAAAACGGTTGACTTAAATTGCGTTAGTGAATAACGGAATTAAATAAGTCAAATACGAGGATGGATTTCGAATGCATATATTTTATGCAACCATTGACCCAGAGGGATGACCAGAGAAACGAAGTGAAGAACGGGACGAAACGAGATGACTCGTAGTGGAGAATGCAAGTGAGCCAACTCCATTTGATAAAACTTTACCCAATATTTATATTCAGACGAAAATAAATTACAGACAAGTAATTAATACACACATTATCATATAAAAATTTAGGGTTAATAAGCGAATTATTGATAAGGTCAGTATGTGGCTTCAGAAGAATGAATAAATTGGCCTGTCCAGAAGTTGTAATAACCTATGTGGGCCTGGTATAGTACAAGGCACTAAAACATAGAGTGGTGATAGCGGAACAGATAAGATAGAGAGTGAACATGTCAGCTCAAAAAATAAGTACGCGTTTTGATTGAAGTATAGAGTTACTGTGAAGATTAACCGACTTAGTCACACTAACCCCGACCAATACGCGGTAGATTTATTTACTCAGGTGCCGGGGACTAGTTATTATCAATATATAGAAAGTGTGGTTCCGATTCCAGTATACGAACTTGGAATTCAGTCAGTTACAACTAACGTAGAATCTCGTGCAGATATCTATTGCCCTAAGTTGTCACAATTCAAATCAGCATAGGGAGATGAAATCAACCAGATCAGGAGCCCAGAGAACCACAATCATATAAACAGTCAGTGAAGATTTGTCGGTTATGAAAATCCTAACTAACGATATTATAAAACTTCATTGTTTGTTTAATGTGAATTTATAGCCGTGCATTAATTCATCACTTTAAGTCCATGATATACGACAGTGCTTTCTAATTTATTGAGTTTTTTATGAATCACTAAATTCTATACGACAATCTGTCAACATGAGTAATAAATTACGTAACAAATTCACGGATTTTGCAGTTGTTATAATTGCTCTTGTTACGATCCGGCTATTTCTATTGCTTATATTATACTTGGACATAAATTCACTCAACAAGACCTCAAATCAGAACACAGTTGAACAGGAACGAAATTATATTCCAAATAACAAGGGTATATGGAATGAATAAGCACAATAACAGAAACGTCAGTATGTCTATAATTTTTACATGAGAAGATTCTAGAGTCGTCTCTAAGTACCGGCTAGCGCTGATTGGATGAAAAATTGCCAATCAGCGTGCACCAACACAACCGTGCATGGAACATGCTTTAATCCAATCTGTCCCACTAACAGCAGTATTAATCAAAATAAGAAAAGGTTGAAAATTTATGGGTGGTAATATTAAGACATGTAATTAATCTCCCGAATGTCGGTTTGAGTCGTACGTGGACGTAGACTCCACGCAGCCTGCTTAAACATCTGGGCTACCTGTTTCCCGTCATCTATATATTTCAACAAGTTATCTAATATTGTTTGTTTTAATACATCATTATGGCTATTAAGCACACAACCTATTCCGGTGCGTTTCTGAAAACTGTACAACCTTTCGCTGTAAAAGTTAGAAAAGGTCTAATCAGAGATGTCGTGTTTGCTGGGAACATGCAGCAAAAAAGGATATACATTATTCATATGTCGATTGACTGAACTTCTGACATCCAACTGGCGATCACTGAATGTTTATCATCAGGAGCAACGAAGAAATAAGAAACGTAAATATGTTGAAATACTTTATGCTGAGAATTCGATTTTGTACCAAATAATATAATATTGAATCAAGCTAATAATAATAATAATAATAATAATAATACCCATACACTGTGGTTGGAGATGGATTCCATGGATCGAAACTAATCACAGCTGAACTTAAAATATATCCTCCTTCTGAACCATAGCTTTATTTCTAATCTTGTACTTAAGGTATCAATTCTTTTCCTATGTTTGTCATTTCCTATTTGGTTGTGTTGATGTGGGGTGTTGAGAGTCGAAACAGATACACTTTTTGAAAAAATTCTATTACTAACTGGCTTATTTAGAGAATTTATTTATTAGCGTGATCGGTTTTTTTCATAACCGAAACAGGAAAAATGCAAACGAACAAAAACAAGTGCTATAACTTACTGCTGTATCGCTCGAAGACAGACTAGAAACTGAATTAACATTTATTTTACTTTGATGTTTACGACCACGAAGATGAGATATATATTGATCGGAAGAATTCAAATGTATACCGCATAAGTTGCAGTTAAAAGAAATTTCAGAAGCTGAAGATAACTCGTTTGACTTTGTCCAGTTTGAACTAGAATCAATGAAACCTACATATAAAGGCGATTTTTGATCACAGGTTGAATTTCTCCCTGTCCCCGTAGAATAAGAGCTGGTATCTAGAAGTGAATCTTTCGGCGAGCCCGAATCAGGAGTAACCAGTGTTGGTAAGGAAATTTTTAGAGGATAATCAATGTGATCCCTTGTGTTTAAACTGTCTAGAACAAGACATTTTGAGCGATGTTTTTTCCCCATTTCATGCAGTCGTAGGACATTCTCAGTGTCACACCAAACATTGCAAACACTGCACAAAAACCGAGGAGGATTCATCTACAGAAAAATATAAAATCTGGAATCACTAGCAGTTAGTAAACCGTATGTATATTTAGAAAACAAAATCACTTAACATGTTACTTACTTGCAATCATTAAAAACAGTCAAAGTTGTAGGTTAATGAACAACAAGGTCAGAACATATGTGGGTAATGACTCGAGAGAAGAAAACCAGTTGGTGTATTCAAAACTCAGAATAGTCTATGCAGGCATGACGCAGTAGTGAACGCTATAATTCTTATCCTTCAGTCTTCAAATAGTACTACTTATAAAACGAACAAGCACATTGAATCTTAGCATAGTTGAATGCTTGGCTAGGCTACTGTTTTAGAACTCAAGTAACGGCTAGTATTTATTTATTTAAACACATATATATTGGTACAAAAGGGCACCAGATACATATGCGCCACACAAAATAATGAAAGTAGGAAGAGAAGGGATGAAAGGTGGACTGAAATGTACAATCAGATTTATTTATTTAAACACATGAATATTGGTACAAGGAAGCGCCAGATAAATATGCGCTTCACAAATCTCATTCGATTTGTGTGAGGGCTGTGATAATGTCCAGGTGCCCAAACCGAAGCAGGTGGTTTTCTTAGGGGGCCACACCCTGAGCCTTTGACATAAAGGTCTGATCCACAAGGCAGTGGAGCATCGTGAGGAGATGCAGTCCCATGGTAGCCGGTGATCAACGATTGATTCGTACGCCGTTTGTTCCATCAGGATACTGGAGCCCTTGTGCACCACTGGTTTGGAATCAGGGTTTTCCAACTCCCCTAGGTGGACCCTCCATGTCCACCAACCCGGTTGAAACGCCGCACATTCGCTTTTCGTCCTCTCAATTTCGTAAACAATACCCCCGCCACGAGAAGGCAGTGAGTAGGACTTCCCTGGCAGAGGCAATATATTCGCTGGCCATATGAGAGCATTTCGAGAGGGAGAGGTGACTCTCCCCACTCTCGGCCGCACCAAGGCATTTGGCGGCTGTACAACCAGAAGACTCTTTCAGTTAAGAAAGTTAGAACTACTCTTTATGTAGAAAGTAAAAGAAGGTTACAGCAGGCTCGCCACTGGCTTCTATTCTAAGCCATATCTGATAACGTCTCTAGCCACTGTGTTGCACCATCTCTCGGACCCCAACCAGGGAGTCATGAAGGTCCAACAGAAGCTAGCCCTTTGCAGCTTTCTTTCATGCCACGACACCATGTCATACACTGACCTCCTCTCCGCTTTTTACAACCAGTCCCAGAGTCGGCAAATAATGCACGACGTGGAAGTCTCTGGGACGACATTCGTAAAACATGTCCAAGCCACCGAAGTCGGTGTTTCAAGATGGTGACACCAATTGAATTATCGTCTCTGCGCCCGAACACACGATGCCGAACCTCTGCATTACTAACATGGTGTTGCCACTGAATGTCAGCAATCCTTCGGAGACAACGATGATCGAACACAGAGAGTCGTCTAACATCCTCAAATCGGAGAGGCCAGGTTTCACAAGCATAGAGCAAAACTGCTCTCACCGACGCGTTGTAGATCCGACCTTTTACAGCCAGACTAACATCACGAAGGCGCCAAAGATGGCCCAGATTGGCATAAGCCGCTCTGGCTTTCATTATACGTGCATCAATCTCATCACTCACGCCACCACCAGCACTTATATAGCTACCTAGATACACGAACTTCTCAACTACTTCAATCTGCTCACCATCCAGGGTGAGTACAGGATGAGAATCCTGCCAGTCTTGTAGGAGTACTTTGCACTTGGAGGGTGCAAAGCACATACCGTACCTGCGGACACTGATTGCCAACTGATTAAGTGCTGATTGCATGCCTTGGGCATTATCGCACAGTAAGACAATATCATCCGCATACTCGAGGTCGAGAAGTCGTTCTCCAGGCAACATATCCACACCGCCATTACTTACATCCATCAGAGCTGTTTCCAAGATGTCGTCGATGGCAAAGTTGAAGAGGAATGGTGAGATCGGGCAACCCTGCCTAACCCCACTGCTCGAATGGAACAAGGGAGAAAGGTGGTTGTATGCCCTCACTCTGCCTGAGGTGTTCGTATACAGGGCCTTTAAGATGTTAATGAACCTCTCAGGCACACCCTTCTTCAATAGACAATCCCAGAGAACAGTCCTGTCCAACGAATCGAAGGCAGCCCTGATATCAAGAAACACTACGATTGTTGGCCTGCGATAAGTATGACGGTGTTCTAACATTTGGCGGAGGGTGAAGATGTGATCAATGCATCCTCGACCAGAACGAAAACCAGCCTGCTCCTCGCGAGTCAATCGTTCTCGAGTTTTAAACAACCTACGAAGAATGACAGAAGCCAATAATTTGGACGCAATCGGAAGTAGACTTATCCCCCGATAGTTGTTACAGGAACAACGTGAACCCTTTTTAAAGATACTTACTTACTTACTTACGCCTGTTACCCCTCGTTGAGGAGCATAGGCCGCTCACCAGCATTCTTCATCCAACTCTGTCCTGAGCCTTCCTTTCCAGTTCTATCCAGTTGCTATTCAATCTTTTCATATCGACTTCTATTTCCCGGCGTAGTGTGTTCTTTGGCCTTCCTCTTTTCCGCTTCCCTTCCGGATTCCAAGTTAGGGATTGAGTCGTGATGCACATTGGTGATTTCCTCAATGTATGTCCGATCCACTTCCAACGTCTTTTCCTAATTTCCTCTTCAGCTGGAAGCTGGTTTGTCCTCTCCCATAAAACACTGTTGCTGATGGTATCCGGCCAATGGATGTTGAGTATTTTGCGTAGACAACTGTTTATAAATACTTGTACCTTGCTGATGATGGTCGTAGTAGTTCTCCACGTTTCAGCTCCATACAGTAGGACTGTCTTGACGTTCGTATTAAAGATTCTGACCTTGAAATTAGTTGTTTTGAGTTCCATATGTTCTTCAATTGTAGGAATGCTGCCCTTGCTTTGCCAATCCTCGCCTTTACATCTGCATCCGATCCTCCTTGTTTATCAACGATGCTCCCAAGGTACTTGAATGTTTTCACCTTTTCCAGAGTTTCGCCATCAAGTGTGATTGAGTTGGTGTTCTCCGTGTTGCATTTGAGAATCTTGCTTTTTCCTTTGTAAATGTGGAGGCCTATCGATGTGGGGGCTACTGCTACATTTGCGGTCTTCATCTGCATTTGTTTGTGTGTGTGGGATAGGATGGCTAGGTTATCTGCGAAGTCCAAATCATCTAATTGATTCTGAGAAGTCCATTGTATTCCGTATTTCCCTTCGGATGTCGAATTCTTCATAATCCAGTCAATCACTAGAAGGAAGAGGAATGGGGAGAGTAGACAGCCTTGTCTGACTCCGGTCCTTACTGGAAATGCATCTGTCAGCTGTCCTCCTACAGATGTGATCTATCTGGTTCTCTGTGGTGTGGTCCGGTGAGATCCATGTAGCTTTGTGTATGCGTTTGTGTGGGAATATCGTGCCGCCTATAACAAATTTGTTGAATGCACATAGGTTTGCAAGTCTCTCCCCATTTTCATTTCTCTCTCCTAGTCCATGTCGTCGAATTAATCTTCATATCCTGTGTTGTCCACTCCAACTTTAGCATTTAGATCTCCCATCAGGTTGGTGAGGTAGTTTCGTGAGCACTTCTCTATAATTGATTGCAGCCTTTCATAGAACTGATCTTTATCATCGTCGTTGCTATCATTGGTGGGTGCATAACATTGGATAACGTTCATTGTGATCCCTTGCTTCCTTGTTCTGAATGATGCTTTGATTATTCTGGGTCCATGAGATTCCCATCCCACAAGTGCATTTCGTGCTTCTTTGGACAGAATTAGAGCAACTCCCTGAGTGTGTGGAGCATTTTCCCTTTCGTGACCGGAGTACAGCAGCATCTCTCCTGTACCTAGCCTTTGTTGTCCAGTTTGAGTCCAATGGGTTTCGCTGATTCCGAGAACTGCCAAGTTGTATCTTCTCATTTCCATTGCTATCGATTGGATCCCTATTAACAGTCGGTTATATGCTGTTAGATTAGAAAGTTCCATCAAAGTGAGAAGAAACTGACGTGAGAAACGGTGTCTTTTCGTCATCTCCGCCTATGCCCCGACAGATTGCAGCCCGGATGCAATAAAGGATCAGTTTTACCACCAGTTAACAGTTCTCCAGAAAGCGCGTTCGATAGATATTGTAGTATTAGTCGGAGACTTGAATGCACAGGTCGGGCGTCTAGGCACTGAAGAGAGTCGTTTAGGTGGCCGATGGGGACTTGTTGGTCGCAGGACAGATAACGGGGACCGTTTGCTGCAACTGTGCACAGACCACAACCTGTTTCTGGCTAGCACTAACTTCCGGCACAGTCATTGCCGGTGTGCCACCTGGCGTCCTCCCTCTGCATCTCAAGCCTGGACTCAGATCGATCACATCGCGATCAGCTACCGCTGGCGTGGTTGTGTACAAGACTGCCGTTCCTTTTGGAGTACCTATCTGGAGTCTGATCATGCCATGGTCTGCGCCAATCTCACCTTACTTTTCAGTGGCCGAAGGATTGACCACCACCAACGGATCGATGTTAGTAAACTGGCTGCAACTTCTGTTGCAAGTAAGTATCGAGCGGATCTAGCCTCTAGGCTAGCTACCACCCCACCGAAAAGTATAGATGAGCATTAGTTGCATCTTCACGACACCATGAAAATGGCGAGTAAAGCCGCTTGCGGCTTCGCGAAACGTCCCGCTTATAAGCACTGGGTTTCTTCTGGCTCCTTACAACTGATGGAACCCCGTCGGTCTACTCCGGGTGACCGTGAGTTTGACCACAAACGAAGGCTGTTACGTAATGAAATCGGGCAAAGCTTGCGTAAGGACCGAGAAGCCTGGTGGTCGGACCGTGCTAATGAGATGGAAGCAGCAGCTGCATTTGGTAACTGTCGGAAGCTCTTCCAACTCATCCGAGCCACTGGCAGCAAGAAGTCTGGTGTGAGTGAAACAATCTACGAGGATGACGGGATG